TGAAGTACCTGACCCTCTGGGTGTCTTTGGACTGGCACCTGACTGCTGCTCAGGTTGGAAGAAGGGGGCGTTTAGCATAACTGCCCCTCGAATCAGGCCTTTGGCTTTACACAGCCTTCAGCTCTCTCTGCAGCATCAGAAGCCCCCAGCCACAGCTACCTACCCCAGTCACTCAATACCCTCCACCCCGCCCCACCCTTGGGTGCTATGGCCGCAGCACTCAACTCTGGGTGGCCTGCCCAGGGCACCTCCTCTCACCGAGTAGAGGGGCTTTGCTGCTAAAGGAAGCTTGGAAAACCAAGATGTGACCCTGAAGTGTGGGGACCCTTTGCTAGAGAGGAATGAGGGGCTTTTGCTCTCTGAGCCTTTGTATTTTCTTCAGAGATGTGGGCCCCTGCGTCCGAGGACTCTCACCAGAAAGAACTCAGGGACTTGGGTGAGGATGGCCGCCAGGCAGTCAGCCCTCAGGAAGTGTCAGCCGCTGGCCGGGCTACTTCCTGTCTGCGCCTTGGTTTCCTCCTGGGTGAAGAGGGGTGAAAGTGCCACTGCTCCAGCTCCTGGCCCAGCAGGATGGTGTTTCCCTCCTGCCTCCTACAGTGGAGCCTGCCAGCCTTCTGGGGTCCCTGGGTGAGGGCAAGACCAATGGGTTGTGTTTGGCTTTTAGTGAACAGATGGTGGTTCAAGCCAACCCACAGGTACCTCCGAAGAAAGGCCTGGTAATCTGTTTCTGAAAGGTCACACTCTTAAAACTCTTTGGAGCAGTTCCACTCTGCACACGTGGGGCTGCCCTGGGTCCCTGTCCACTTGACAGCAACCAACAGCTTCTCCTGCCCTCTCTCTCCGGCCCAAGTTCCCGTAACACCCCATGGGGGGCTTACCAGGATCTCCCCACCTCAATCTGCCCCAGAAAGGGTCCAAATGCTGGCCCCCAGAGCCCACAGCCAATGGATGATGACATCCAGCCGCGGGGAGTGTGGTGAGGTGAGGGCGGGGCAGAGAAGGCTGGCAGGAAGTGGCTGGGGTCCTTAGAAGAGATGCTAGCTCTCCCCTAAAACTGTGAGCATTCCCAACCAACAAAGAGGCCTCTAGGTCCCACTGTGTCATCCCCTTGGGCCATTGGCCTTGAATCATTTAAAATAACACAAAGGTGACCAGTTGAAGTCACCTTGCCCCCTCCTCGCCCTCTTTGACCCCAACCCTTGAGGTTCTTCGATCCTGAGCAGCGGGAAGCTGGCTCTTTTGCACCCCGTGTTCAATGCCTGCTCGGTGTGTATTTGACTCGCTCTCCGTGAGGTCAGAGTGCAGGGAGATGCAGTAGGGCCCCCCCCCTTCCACTTCACATCCCAGTGGGGCCGTGGTAACAGGGGATACATGGGAGTTAGTAGGGAAGAGAAGACTCTGGTTAGGGTTGCCGGAGTAAAGGCCCTGTGGTAGGTAGATAAGTGGTGCTGTGTGTGCACATCTGTGTGGGACCACCAGGTCAGGCACAGATCACATGTCCCTCTTAGGCCAGGCTGGCAGCACCTGTGACCCATCAGATGTGGGGGTGGGGTGGGGGAGTGAGGGACAGATGGGCAGCAGCTGCTGCAGGTGTCATCAGTGTAGAATGGGAGGCCATGGAGGGAGGGGCCTGGAAGGGGGAGGAAGGGTCAGGGAGGCGGAGGGAAGCTGTGGGGAGGAGGGGCTTGAGAAGGACTGGCAGCTTGGGGTGCCCCCAGTGGGGCACCATATAGGACCTCTGCCTTTTCCTGACCCCCTTGGCCTTCACAGCCTGGATCCCTGAGAGGCCTGAGCATCCTAGGGATCTACTGCCCCAACTCTGCCTTGTGGCTAGATGGCTCTGGGAAGGAAGCTGGCTTGGCCAATCGCAACCTGGTTGGGTCCTAGTGGCTCTGCTCCCATCCCTCCTCCATCGCAGCTCACCTGGGCCTTGGGCCTGAATGCTGCCCTCTGCCTTCAGCCTGAGGTGCAGGACATAAATAGAGCCCCATCGCTTGCCCCTCCCCGTGAGTGTGTGGCTTCAGAGGGGCAGGGGTCTGGGGCAGGGGTCTGGGGCAGGTGCCTCCCAGCACAGCACTGAGGGAGACCTCAGCCAATGGTCTAGAACAGCAGTTCTCAACCTGTGGTCCAAGACCCCTTTGGGAATCAAAGGACCCTTTCACAGGGATCGCCCAATTTGTAACAGTAGCAAAATGACAGTCATGAAGTAGCCACGAAAATAATTTTATGGTTTGGGGGGTCGCCACAACATGAGCTGTATGAAAGGGTCGCAGCATTCGGAAGGTTGAGAACCAGTACTGTTCTAGAGCCTGGGGGTGGAGGGCAAAGCCTGGTGGGAGTGGGGAAAGGACTCCAGGTGGGTTGAGGGGATGGAGCCCCCTTGAGCGTACAGCAGGCAGAAGCTGGGCAGCCAAAGGGTTGCCTGGGACAGGAGGCCGTAACTCCAGGCAGGCTGCTGGGAGAGCAGGGCTGAGTCAGGGGAAGGTTATTTTCGGATGGGGCCCTGCCAGCCAGGAGGGTGGGCCGCCCATCTGTGGGGGAGGCAGCACTGAGCTGAAAGATGGCAGCGTCCAGAAGGGCCCCAGGATGTCTCCTACTTTCAGCTCCCAGCGGGGGATCCAGGCCCTTGGGGCTAGACACGTGGTGGGGGAGGAGTCCGGAGATGAGGGGTAGAAGCTGAAGAGGAACAGCTTTGGCTCCCAGTTGGGGCCCAGGGTAGGTAGTGCTGTACTGCCCAGTACCCCCCACCCCCACCCCCACCAGGCAGCACTCCCAGCTCATTTAGGGTGGGTGGGTGACTGAGATGGCTCCTCAGGGGACCCTGCCCCACTGGCAAGCATCTTGGGGGTGTTCATGTAACAGGGCCAGGGCCTTGCCCATGAGGAAGGTGGCCTCAAGGAGGGGCTCTGCAGACAGGATCTTGCTGTGTGGAGGAGCTGTGCTGGTTGAGTAGCCTGGAAGGAGGCAATCTTCGGTGAAGAGGGTATTGGGGTTCAGTGGAGGCAGAATGGACCAGTGAGGGGGCAGGGCGTCAGCAAATGAGGTTGAGGGTGGGCCCAGTGAGGGACTGCCTGGGGTCTGAGTGCCCGCCCCTTCCCCCAAGGCTGGCCTTGTACGTCTACGAGTATCTGCTACACGTGGGAGCCCAGAAGTCGGCCCAGACCTTTCTGTCCGAGGTATGTGAGTCCTTCCCTGCCTGCTCCGACCTCCCATTTCTTGGGGGGTTCTGCGGGTGAGGGCCTCTGGCAGACCTCCGTCACCCGTCATCTTCCTCCTACAGATCCGATGGGAGAAGAACATCACGTTGGGGGAGCCCCCAGGGTTCCTGCACTCCTGGTGGTGGTGCGTGTGGGGCAGGACACTGGCAGGGGGGTGCGAGGAGGGCAAGGGGACACTGGCGGGGAGGAACCATGCCCCTTCCTGCTTCACAGTGTGTTCTGGGATCTCTACTGCGCGGCCCCGGACCGGAGAGAAGCCTGCGAGCACTCTAGCGAGGCCAAGGCCTTCCAGGACTATGTGAGTTCTGTGGGGACTTGGGGACGGGTGGGCGGAGGAAGGTGTAGGCCACTCCTGGTGGGTGGGGTGCCGCATAACGCTCCCCTTCCCTGTGGCAGAGAGCAGCCAGGGGCAAGGGAGCTGGAACACTGGTCACAGTTCAGTGACTTCACCTCGCCAGCCTCGGTTTCCCCAAGGGCTAAGCCCCGAGGCTGAGGGAGGCACGGGGCAGTGGCGCATGGCCCTAAGCTTCTCCTCAGTGCTCTGGCCTGGATACCAGGCGCGAGGCCTGGACCCGCTGTTCCTCCTCTGGCCTGGCCTTGGGCGTGGGTTTGCGGCCTCTCGCAAACGCGCCTTCCCTGCTGGGCACCACCCCAACCCTTCCTGGAAACGCAGGCTGTGTGCTCTCCCAGGGCGCCCCCTGCTCCTGAAGATGCCCCCTCCGCCTGCTCTTCCTCCCCCTGCCCGGGGACGCCCCCACGCCTCCCCGGTCCCGCGGGTGTCTCTACGCGGGCTCGGCTCTCTCCCTCGGGGGTGGGGGGCGGGGGGCGGTGTCTCCTGGGCTCTGCTCCTGAGCTCTGCCCTGCGTTGGAGTAAGCGCACTTCCGCGAGTGCGCATTGGTTGTCATGGCAGCGCCAGAGCGTCGGGAAAAGGCGCGGGGACTGGAGACCAAGTCCCCGCGGGGCGCAGGAAGCTTGGCGTGCATCTTGCCGCCTACGGCGTGGTTGGGGGGGCAGGGAGCCCCTCCCCTCCGCCGCCGGTCGGTCAGCCTTCCCGTCTCCACTGCTCCTCGCCGAGGACTGACCTTGGCGTCTCCAGGAAATGCGCCGGCCCAGCCTGTCGCCATGGCAACTTGAGCCCCGGGCTGGGCGCCTCCAGAAAGTGATTAACCTTGGGGGTCCAGCCCGCTCCAGTGGGGCAGGCGTAGGGTTGACCTGGGCCAAAGTGAACCTGCAGGCCCTAAAGTTGAGGGGGACCTGTATTCCCATCAGGTGTCCTGCTACCAACCCCACCAGGAAATTCGCCGGGGCCTGCCCGCCCCTGATCCCCCAGGTACCCCAGCTGCCTAGGCAGGCATCTCTAGGGCGCAGCTGCCCCAGGCCCCCGGGGTGCAGGGTGCCGAAGGGAAGGAAGGCGTGCCTCCCTCCCCAGCGGGCCCCTGAAGAGAGCGCTCTGACCCGTGGGCCTGTGGGAGTTGCCCCTGACGCACCCCAGGCTTAACAGGCTTCCTAGGAGAGGGGCTGGAGGGGCCCTGTTCTAGTAGCTGAAGGGCTCCCCGCCCCCAGCCCTTCTACCCAGCCCCTCAGCTCCCCCCAACCGCGCCGCGGGCTGTGGCTCCTTGGAGACGTGCCTCCCCACACTCTGCACCTCCCCTCTCCCCCTCCCCTAAAGTGCCCCTCAGGCCACTAAGCCTAGCCCGGAACTAAGCGGGAAGTGGCCTGAGGGCCTTTCCCAAACTGCATCTTTGCTGCGCTCCCCGCCCCCTTCCCCGCTGCCGTTAGCTCCAGTCTTCTGTGCTGTGCGCTGAGGGCTTATGCCTCTGCCCAGGTTGACCAGGACGCTGCGAATGCTTCCCTTTTTCCCCAGATGGGGTGGTGATTTGGGGGCTCTTGGGTAGAGGTAAGGACCGCTGGTGGCACAGGGGTCCAACAGCTGACCTAAAGCCGGGTCGTTTACTCCAGGCTAGAGAGATGCAGTGGCCTTCCTTCAAGCGGGCTATTTTTGGGACATTTCTGTGCTGGCCGGAGTCAGAATTTGACTAGGTGGCTATGGATTTGGGTTCTTCTTTGTCTTTGGGGGGAGATCTGTGGACCTAGGCCAAGCTGCCTTGCTAACTGGGGGTGGGTGAGGGGGGACTGGAGGGGTAGTGAGTGCCTACTGAGGGGCCTGCCCTGAAAGCCAGCCTGGACTTCTTTTTGCTTGTTAGAGGAATAGGTTGTCCCTGGAGGGTGCAGGGAGTTAGACTCAGCTGCCAACCAAAACGTTGGGAGGTTGAGCCTACCACGAGGCGCTTCAGAAACAAGGCCTGGGAAACAAGCTCAGCCCCACTGGGGCACGCTTGAGCAGGGGTGCC